TACCTTATGTGCTTTACCCCTTTATCTGGAACATAGGTGGTCACTTACTCTAACAAGTCTCTACAGCCCGATATCAGATGTTTATCTAACAGATTACTATTTCCATCCGAGCGCGAAACTGTGGAACACCTACACCCTGCATGTACTCCTGAGTTCAATTCAGTTCAATTTGTACAACCATTAACCGTGCACTATTGTGCGCCGGTTTTGGTTGCTGTCTTTTGGCTGACCATTTGGATGAAGAATAGAAGAAAGGAAAGTTGAAAGTGGAGTTGAACATAAAATGGAAAAGTTCAGTGGTCTAAGGTTGCAGAGCAATTGAGAAGATTCACGAACGCCACTGGTTGCGACAACCAGCCATATCACTCAGTGTCTCTAACCAACGGTTACGATCATCTCGAGGTCCCCACTCAGGAAGTCTAACAGGACCTATGTAACCTAGTCTCCTGGTTAGGGTTTTCATACCCTCGTGCCAGGTCTTAGCTTGACCACCCTTGGAGTTTTCCACTCGGTATCTGCTTCGGCGAACATCGCTCGCCGTGGTGACCTATTTGCTGACATGTGCAACACATGTCCTAACCAGCGTAATCTATGGAGGTCGACCACTTGCTCCAATGGGCGACCGCGGATACCCAAAACTCTGCGTTTAACCTCAGCATTGCTCATCCGGCCACCCCACCAGATTCGCGCAACACTGTGTAGACAGCGGTGTTCAAACACCGAAAATCTATCTTTATCCTGTTTTCTTAATGGTCAAGTTTCTGCACCGTAGAGCAGAACTGGCCGAAATGTCGCGGCATATACTCGACCCTTTCACAGACAGCCGAATGTCGCGACGACGCCACAGATGTCTCAATTTGGCAAATGCCAACCGAGCTTTCTGTATGCGAGCAGACACTTCATCCGTGATGCGTCCATCGGGTGAGATGTAGCTGCCCAAATAACAAAACTCATTCACTTGCTCTATTACTTCCCCCAGTTAGAGTGAGACTGGGTGCTGGACCAAACCAATCTTGTGGTAACAGTTTACACTCTGAAGGTGCACTGTACTCCTGAACACTTCCAGAGGAGTATTGACAGCCAAGTTACCACATAGGAATTCCTGCATATACTCTCTCTCTCCTTAAAGTATGTCGGTGACCATGAGATCTTCCGCTTTGGCTATGCGTTCCTCTTTGTATAGTTAAAGATTTACGGCAGACACCAAGCAAACATGAGAACGCAAATGTGGTTGAAAGTAAATTAATACGGGTGGTGCCAAAAACTATGAGCTAGATGAATCAATGGTGGAGTTGGGATGTGAATACGGTGTAATAAGCCCCAGGAACGCGTTGATTGAACAACTACCCCGAACCAAGAGGTACAATACTTACCTCCAACTGTTTCAAAGACGAAACAGCACGTAGATGAGCCAATCGTAACGGGTTATTACTCAAAATTAACTGCTGCAACGAGGAGCATCGACGCAACTGTGCTGGTAAACCATCCAACTGATTATCAGAAAGATCCAGAAGCATCAAATCCGTGCACTGTACAAAAACTTCCGAAGGTACACTGGTGATAGCGTTGCGGCTGAGATTTAGAACCAACAAGCCTTTGGCTTTTTCAATCCCCTTTGGTACATTAGTCAGCCGATTGCAACTGAAGTCAATAACCTGCGAAAAACCAAAGAGGAAAATGTAAATTCATTTAAAACGCAATTTTAAAATGAAATGATGGATGTGAGTCAGTAAACTGAAATGCTAAAAATCGTCATTAAACGTGAGTTTAATAGGCACATGGAGGTTTCGAACAGGTGAGTACCAAACGAAATCATAGTGAAGGAATGTACCGGGATGCAGTATTTAATAAGGAATCTCATTCGCTGTTTTCTTGTGGCGCAGGCGTTTCTGCACAAGTACAGGAGGGAAAAGCCAATATCGAAGTTGACGAGTTACGAGCAGCTAACTTATCTCGAAGGACGCTAGAGACCTTCCTCCCACATGCGATGGTCGCCGGTTTGGCGAGGTGATAGAGTGTATTGGTTTGAGGAACGTGGCCGTGCTCTACCCACCAAAAAACCATATAGTTAGGATTCAGAGAGACCAGCGTGTAAAATATGTTCATTTGTGTATAAAAGTGTGACCTGCTTACCTGCAAATTGGGGCATTCGAATATGCTAACAGGAATTGCATCACCGTCGGTCAATTCGTTTTTTCGGCAATTGAGTGAACGTAACGAGGGCAATAAGGCTGGCCAGTCTTTCAACGCAGATAGCTGAGATAGGGTGTTACGAGCAAGTGACAAACTTTCCAACTGGGTCAGTTTTCCTAATTCGGTTGGTAACTGGACCCCAGAAAGACCAGAGTCGACCAGTTTGAGCCACTGCAGGCGACACATGCTGGCCAAAACATCAGTGGTGGGCCAAAGCGTCGCTGCTGCCGGAGTGCGAGTAGTTGCTTGTGAGTTTGCATGGTTGTCCAAGGCCGCCTGGACTGACTCGTCTGGACCGAAGTGGACTCCAGTTAGATCCAAACCTCGCAAATATTGAATCACGGCTTTCGTCATCGCGTGAGACGATTAGTGATCCACAGTGGAGATAACTTGTTTAAACTGATTTATTCGATCCTGTGAATAGAAATTGAAGGAAAGTATAGCCACGGATTTACATGGACCATAATGAAAATCAAGAAAAAGAACAAACAGAGAGAGAGAGAACCGGATAAGAGAAAACGATTGTCACTAATGATTATCCAAAGATGTACCAGAGTGTTGTCAACACAAAGATTACCCATCACGTGGTTCCCTTTCACTAATGGTTGCCGCCATTAAATGCATAAAAATGACAAATAAAACAAAAGGAGTCAAATAATAATAATAATAATAATAATAGTAAACTACGACCAAATAAGAGAAGAAAACAATAGTTTTAGCAGTGAATCTACCGTTTCAAGCTGATACATTTAGGATAAGTTTTAGTGATCTGCAGTATATTGTGCTCGTGTTGATTTCATACAAAAGAACGAATTTTCCAAAAGGAAAGTAACTTAGTCCGTGAAATGATTTTCATAACTAAAAACATCAATATATGAATCGGGTTACTCAGTCGGAAAAGTTTGGGCCGCATAATCCTTGTGGTTATGGTTTCTTACCCAAAAGAATTGAATCGAAGAGATAAGAATTACTGGTTGCAAGAAAGCCAGAAATCGCATAGATGAAAGTACATGATCATAGCGTGTGATCAGTAACAGAGGTAGAAGACTAGAAAATAAGGATAACATTTTATGGAGTCGGTAACAGTGCATTCTTGAACGACTCGACTAGAAAATAAGATAAATCGATTATAAACAGCTTTGATGGAGTGAATGTTATAGTGTTAATAACATAGCGATGTCGGTAGAGAATTATATTCGCCGACGTTTCGGTTGCCGTGGGTAACCTTTCTCAAGGCAGGTTTTACCAGCTTTTATGGAGATATGAAACTCAGACAAATGATCAGTAAACCTTAACAACACGGGTTTCGAGCCTTTAGGAGAAGATAAGAGGAACGAAACCAACAAAAAGGGAAAGACATAGTAATCAGCAAAAGAATGCAGCAAGCACTACTCGGAAGCAAATTGAATCGGATTTCCCACACAAGAAGATAAGCAGGCACAGAAGCGCGAGAATCTGACGTGACAACATTGTTAGATAGAACGGCTACTTCAACAAAGCAATTGGCTTGTATAAAACAAACACGATTGTGGCTTATAACTTACCTGTGAATGCCGAAGAGATGAATGAACTTTAAGGATGCGCTGTTTGAAAACACCGAGACGATGCACGTACTGTTCCAAATCTACAGGACACTGATGAATCGATCGGATTCGATTGAGGACTGTCGATATGTCACATTCACCAGATATGGTGCCAGTTGGCAGTAGGACAAAACACATAAGAGAATGTTTTTATAGCATACATCAAAGTAGTGAAAATGAAATGAAACAACAAATTCTATCTCATTTAGGTTTTCTGTTTTTCACATGGTGATGACATTCACTCAATTTGAAGCCTGCTTCATGCATTATACTGGATTCCCAATGGAATGTTCACCAATTGTGTGACATTCAGAAAAAAAAAGACAATATCAACTGGGGGGGGGGACACTAGGCTTGAAAGTTTGAACTTCGACTCAAGTTTGAGCATTTGGGTAAAATTCCTCCCATGTAGCAGTTTCAGTGTTTTTTTCAATGTATACAAATAATGAGACAATTAGCGATCAAATATGCCACAGGTCTAGCTCCTCTACGGGTCAGTCAGGAATGATTTCCGTGTGGTTGTACTCGTACGTGTGAACCAAAAACTTCCGATACAGTGTTTGATTTTAGGACGATTTATAATGCTCATGAGTGAGAACGTGTTACTTGAACACGAGAACTTCGCCGGTATCTAATCGCCTAATAAGACAGCATTTCGATAGTGTTGTGAAGATTAAAATGAAGATACGGTCAACGGTTCGATGGAGAATTGTTGGTTCTGTAAGATAAGCTATCACCGGGGTATCGAAAAGATTATTTGTGTAACTGAAGTTGGCATAGAGAGTTTACCTTTCCTAAAAACGCAGTTTAGATATTAATTTCCGGGTAACAATCTAATGAGAACAGTAACAAAATGATTCACTCCGTGCACAGAGTAAGACATTTGTAGTCGATCACAAAACGTTGCTTACTGGAAGAGTGGAAATGGACCAGAGAGAATATCCCTCAAAGGCAGTAGAACTGAATAACAAATGACTGTATTTGGATGAATATAATATTGTTACACCACCGGCAATGTTTCCCCCATAAAAGTTATTTATTTTCAAGAAGAAAGATCATTGGAATTCCTCGACTCTCCTGATCTCTGTCAACGTGTTTTTTATTAGTGAAAATCCTATTCCGTTGATGTATACATTGTTTTAGTGAATTAAATTTAAAAGAGAATGATTTCACCCAAATCAGTTAGGCACATGGTCGGAATAATGCAAGTGGGTCTGAAGTGACCGCCTATGGCTTTCAAGTGATGAGGGTTGGCTCTCAAACAATAGGAAATATGGCAGGTGTTTGTGCTTTAGTGTAGGGAACGTCCGAATACAGGACACTAAACTTCGAACTGGTCTATCTTCTTTGTTTGATCAGTCCGATGCCGGTCCCGTGAACAGGCAATTAAGCTTCATGAAATACCGGGAAATCTTGTGCCACATGTATTGCATGTTATCCACCATGTACACTCCGTTTCTGCACCGTTGCAGACTTTCTCCTACCGTTTTTCGAGCATAAAAAAATTGATTCACAAGTGTTGAAATAGGGTGCGATAAAATATGAGGGCAGTACAATAGCACAGCCGAGTCCAACCAGTCCGGCATAGCGTTACCTAGTGTTCTTCATTGCTTTCAAGGCGGTCTTTAATTCAGAAGGAGATATGCAGATCTAAGTATTTTGATATTTTCGCCCGATCAGCAATTGATAGCGATTCTCAATTTGATTAAAGTAAGAACTGTAGACCGGCTACTCCAAACAGTGTATTACACAAAATAAGTTAAATGATCCTTCGTAGGGTATATGCGACAAGTTCTTGCCTCGTCCGATAGCACAAATGACAAACTGACTGTTCTTTTCCAGCGGTAAGGATTGCGGACGCTGAGGGTGGTGGTGGCGCAGTGGTTTAGTCGCTATCGCCAGCGTGCTTTGGACCCCATGCTACGAGATCTGAGCCCCACCACCGCCACCTAATTTTGGCCGTAGGTAGCTTTACTGCAGTCCGGTTCAGTACCACCTTTAATCTAACGGGGCCTTATGTAGTTCGTCCCATTCCACGTCTAGGGGCTTGGGTTACCGGATTTTACTTCAGAACAGCAGGTCCTCGTGACTAAGAGGTTTTCCCTGGTGTGTAATAAACAATAAAAAAATCCCGTCCCATACTTTCAAGTAACAAACAGTCAGGTCTGGAATGTTTCCAACCCAGTCATATCCTTGGAAGTCAATGCCGAGATGAGCAACGTGTGATTTCAACGACGAGCTTGCAAAGATGGGTTGTGCTATATCCTGTAGAATGAAAATGAAAAACGGCCTGATCAGCTGCCCGGTGGTCGAGGGTGTAGTATGCTTGCCTTCCACCGATGAGATTGCGGGCTCGATCCCCAGTTGGGTCCTTGGATTCGCACTTCTGATGAAATCCAAGCAAAAAAGATGTTTTATCCCCATGACTTTAGCGCATACTATATGAAGAAGAATATGTATATGAACCATAGACAATCGCGAAAAAAATAAAGAAGATGACCAAACACAGGGGAGCAGTCGAGGGGGGTTGCAAATGGCTTACTCACCTTCAATGAGACTGTTCAGCTGATTGGTAAATTCAACTTGTGACCGACTCAGTTCGAAAGCGGCACGATCCAAGCGTTCCAAATTCGGTTTGATGACCGACAAAAAACCACCAGCTAGTTCACGTTGTCTTTCAGTTGGAAACTTAGCACTGACTAAATGTTCCGAATCGAGAACCGAAACACTACTCGGTGTGTCCGTACAGGTTGGATCGCTGTTGCTAGTGATGATGGTCAACTTTTCAGAGGTGGAGGAAGAATTGCACGGTACTGTATGGTCTGAGTCCGACTGGGATTCAGGAATCATGCAGCCCGATAGCAATAAGTCCGTGTGTACCGTCCCGACTCACCTGAAAACAGTACGCACAAATAAAATTAGTCTTGCACTACACAAGGCGATTTTAACGAGATTTCGTTCATCGTGTTAGTGTAGAAGTTATCGATACAACTACATATTCATGAATATAAGAAACATTAGCGTTTGCTACATTCGCAAAATATTAGGGGGTAGGGTGAGGGTATTCAGGTTCAAGTTGTATAAGAAGTAAACGTGAGTATGAACCTTTTCAATTGTTCCCGGAAATTGGCTGACAATCCTATCATCGCATCAGTTTAGAATGAATCGCAATGATCAACAAATACAACAGAATGATCCAGGATAAGGCTGACAAGAATAGCACTAACATCGGCAAAATACAGTGAAGTTCGCTTCACTGATCGCTGACAATTTCGTCAGATAGAAAAAATGGAGAATGTGTAAGATGGGCGGGGTTGGGAGTTAGTTTGAGATAGGAGGAAACTCTATGATCAATACAGGGTATACAACCTGACTATGCATGCACTTACTTAGGCATTCTAGCCTGGTAAGAAATGACAAACAGAACACCACTGTTGCCGGTTCGCCACCATATCCTTCAGTGTATCCAACCAGTTAGCTACATGATCATTTGAACTCCGTATCGGAAGACGATAGATGCTAAAGTGAATAAGGCGCAGTGCAGCAGACGACAGCTGCGTGTGCATGCCAAGTACTTAATCAACGAAGCCTGCTAATCTGAATTCGATGTGCTAGCGAATTTATCCTTGATAAACTCAGAAACACATGACGGTTTACCTCCAGATTAATAGCGCGCTCAGTCCATCCCACTTCAGTGAAGCGTGGTGTGTACGCTAAAGGTGTTTTAGTTCTGCCTAAGCGGTTCGGACATTGGGAAAAATAGCGGTTACCTCATCTGCTGCACTGTCGTCGTTTATTACGCAGTTGCTTAAGTAGCAGAAGCGATCAACTAAAACTGATTCCTGGCCATTCAGTTTCCAAGCGGGACTGGTGGATACCCAGTCTTGCAGCATTAGGTTGCACTTTGAAGATGCAAACACATACTAAACAGAGTAAGAGAACTTGAAAGTCTGTCAAGAACACTTTGCCTATCCTCCATACCTTTAAACAGACAAACGATATCGTTACGGTACGCTAAATCGCACAGCTTTTCTCCAGCCGCCCATTTAATACCAACATTTTGGAAGCCACTTAATACGTTCTCCTGTATTTCGTTCAAGACAAAGTTGAACATGAATGCCAAAATAGGGCACTCTTAACGAACACCACTACTGGTTTCCAATGACCTGTTTAATTCACAGTAGACCGTTAGGCTGCCAGAAGCATGCCAATACAGTGACCTCAGTAAGTTATTATGCCTCTATGGCATTATTTTGTGAAAGGAAACGAGGAGAGCCTCGCGGTTAAATGAATATAAAGCTCCTTTCAGACCAAGGAACGCTGCTGTCGTTGTTTGACGGTGTATATGACGCAATTCGAGGACTTGATGCAACATGAAAATTCTATCAATACTCTCTCGTCCCGGCCGGAGTCCGGCTAGCCGTTTACGGATATTATTCTTTATTCATGCCGTCGAAGTATGACACAGGCTAGCGCTTTGGCGACGATGGGGATCAAACTTATCCCTCGGGGGTTAGCACGATCAGTGCGAGATACCGTCCTGAAGATCTAAACGACCACTGGTTCACCCCAAGATGATGAACTGCACTTCCACGGTCAGATGCCGTGCAGTAAGCCACTAACGGAGATTATCACACTCATGTTGAAAAGAGAGAAGCTCGTTAGGTCCTGCAGCTTTTACTCACCTCAGACCGGACTTGAGTCTCTGTCGGAGGATCATATGACACTACCCATAGAGCTTCAGCTGTAATGGATGAGATAACCTGGCCAGCAACAGGTCAATTGAAATACTCTGCCCAGTGGTCAATCTACTGTTCCCTATAGTTAATAGCTCAAGCGATTTTACCACAGATTATTTTACAAACTGAGGTACATCGATCTTCGGTGTTGCGCACTAGTTAGAACAATCTGAAGTAGCTGCTGCTTCTGTTCCACAAGCTATTTTTTGCACACTGGTTTTCACGGTTCCTCTTTAAGCGTTTTGTGAACAAACATCAATTACTCCTATTTTGATTATGGCCAGTCAAGATTTTCGAATTTTCTCCTTTAATCATGAGATATGCAATGCCTCGGATGGTCTTGAGGCTCAGATCCACCAGCAACCTTCGCCGCGGAATGCATTGCTCGGCTAATCTGATGCCATTGCTCATTTACAAAACTACGGTGCGGCGTACTTATCTAATATCGTAGCAAGGACTCAAAGTGTGCACCAAAAGCTGAGCCAGACAAGTGATGAAAGGCTAATCGAATTTGCTGATTTTTTCGGCAACCTGAGAACCAGAGCGCAAACTGCATCAAAACTTGCGCATGGTCAGACACAACCGGGGTGGTCCAATACAACCTGCAGTTTTGAACCGAGCCACAACAACGGTAGCTTATTATGCGATTAATTTGAGTCGGCGCACCCGTTGCATTCGAGCGCCACGTTGCCGTTCAGCAGAATTCGGTACTGTAAAGGAACAGATGGTGATCTGCGCGGAACTGAAGATGAGCGCTGTCATCTGTTTGCTGGCACAGCAGACCGCAACGATCATTTAGATAAGCTTCGGTGCACACAGTTTTCCGACCTGCACGGTAAAGTTACCTGTAAGGATAAATTTATCGGATTGGTTCAACCAAATGAGTTCAGTTATTCTGTCGTTGAACATGACATTTTGTGCATCAGAACACCTTTTGGTGTTGCTTCCATTCGGGATACTGACTGACTTTTGAAACCACACCACAAATGGACGACTGTAGACGGGATTTAATCGACAAATGAGGCTTCGGCTCTATTACTTATTACAATAACTACTCCAAGCTGACCTACTGTACGGGCTTCGTCATCACCTGATACAGAGATCAAGTATATTGATGACAAATACGGTGCACTCGAGTGGCTTATAGTACGAGGATATTTATGCATAGAGCAGTATTAAGATCGATTTTTTTTTTTTGGGGGGGGGGGCGTTCAGCATACGCGTCAGACTAGTTCATCGACTCATCTGCATTAGAATCCTCACATTGAAGGCCCCCAGATTCAGATATTGGTAGAGCTTCAGAATCTCCTAGTGCTTCAAGTGGTGAACTATTTAGTTCTGTTTGAGAATTAGATCGGGCGAGTTGTACACAAGTCATCTAAAGGATTATTACGGATGGGAATAACAGGCCAAGGAAGAGGGCCGGATACGGAAAACAAAAAGATTAACGAAGGTTAAGATGTCAGAGCGGTGGTCCACTTAACAGCCACCCTACTCGGTGAAACGAGTAGTGCGATTGTGATTATCCTGCGCGACGAGCGATGCAGTATGGAGTTATTCAAGGTTTGTGTATGCGATAGAGTTTCACGGACGGGTGTAGCTAGAGAATTCATTCCCCACAGCTAGGTGCTACTTTACCATTTTTAGATAGAATGACTAATGTAACCTTACAATCATGTGAATAGTTATTTTAACTAAAGCCGATGGAATAGTGCAGCCGATAGAATATTCTTCACAAACAATTGTTTTCCCACGGTTTTCAGCATTCGATCGCACGGTTCTGTGAAGGAGAAAACCGTGGGAGTCATTAATGAACTATTTTCGGATAGTTCGATTAAAAACGGAGTGGATAAACGATGATAAGTGGTGAAAAGCTGAGACTCATGAATTCTGAATAGATCCGAGCAAATTACAGAAGGATACATGTTAAGACGATCTCAATAAATCTACCTGAAGCAAGTGGAAATTGATTATGTGGTGTGTTAATGCCTATGGTAACTCCGGTCATAGGGATTTGAAAAATGAAGCAGTTTCTCACAGTTGTTTCCGCAAGATAAATAGCTGTATATTGACCTCCGAGGAAGACGGTCGGTACACGTACATGGTTCGCTAAAAAAGCGCTCCGCTCTGTAAATAAACTATGCACATTTAGTGTCATGTGATGCTCACGAAGATGAAGGTTATTCGGTCTGGAGTCAAGGGGATCAGACGTAGCAAACTTATTTCTAAGGGGATCAGAAAACTGTGTTGAAGAATAAGCGGAACCTTATTTACCGAGAAACAATCGGACAGGTGACACTATGAGTAAATGATTCACATCTGGATGTTTTTACTTCCTTTTTTTGTTGACTGATTATAGAAATGTATAAAAAGCTTTCAGGAAGGAGGCCACGGCCTTCA